GGACAGCACCGAGGCCCTGAGTTCAAGCTCCAGGACCAGCATGCAGACACACACACAAAAGACAAGGAAGGAAGAATGGTGGTTTATATTGTCATCTGGAGGAGAAAAATTAAACAAGGAAGTAAGACTGGCCAAAATTTGTATCCATCATGATGCAGTAGATTAGTGGTTGGCTTGCCTGGGGCTGAGGGATGAGGGAAAAGGAAAACAGAGAATGACTACTAATGACTAAATATAGATTGTCTTTTCAGGGTGATGAAAATGTTCTGGGATTGTTTATGATGATGGTTGTACAACTCTGAATATGGTTTAAAAAAAAACAGAAAAACAAAACAAACCAACCTTTGAGCCAAATGCCAGTGCTCCTAGCTCCTGGTTCATGGCTCATGTCTATAATCTTAGCTACTGAGGAGGCTGAGATGCGAAGACGGAGTCCAGCCTGGGCAGGATAGTCTGTGACACTCTTAACTTCCAATTACCCAGCAAAATGCTGAAAGTGGATCTGTGGTTCCTACAGTGCTGGACTTGAGTGGAAAGAGCTCAGAGACAGTGACAAGACCCTCAGTTCAAGCCCCAGGACTAGCAGGAAAAAGATGCTTAAAACACAAAATATTAAGGCCACAATTAAATATTAAAATACTTTATTAAATAAAATTATAATAAGATGATTTATTTAGTAATTTGTTTAATATTTTATTAAATAAAATGTTAAAACCACAGAGCCTCAGTGGCTCATGCCTATAATCCTAACTAATCTGGAGGCTGAGATCTGAGGATTGTGATTCAAAACTAGCCTGGGCATGAAAGTGTGTGAGACTCTTATCCTCAATTAACCACCAAAAAAAGTCAGCATTGGAGCTGTGGCTCAAAGTGGTAGAGCAAAAAGTGTTGAGGGACAACACCCAGGACCTGAGTTCAAGCCCCACAACCAACAGAAAAAAAAAACAACAAGCAAAAAACAGCACCCTGGTATTTATGAGTGACACATAGAAAGAAGAGAATGAGGTTTATTCTGTGTTCCTGAGGAAAGCAATCTGAAAATCAAACATTTAAGACATTCATTGCAAAACAAAAACAAAAAACAAACAACAAAACCCAAAATTGAAAATACAAGCAGCTGCAGAATTTGGGATCAGAACTAGAAAAGGAACAGAAAGAAACAGGACTGAGCCAGGCTTCCAGAACATTGCTGGAGAGTCTGACCCATTTGTGAGATGCTTCAATATCCCGTTCCATAAAAGAAGGAAGGCCTCGTGAGTAGCTGAAAATATGTCAGGTAGCAAGGGAGCCTTTCTAAAGTGCAGGCCTAAAAGCCTCATGGTGGGCAACATATTTTGTCCAAGAATGTGAAGCATTTCAAGCATTATAAGTACATATAATTTATTTTTCTTTTTGTGCAGGTACTTGGTCTTGAATGTAGGACCTTATATTCTCCTTTGTCAATTTTTTTGTCAGTCCTGGAGCTTGAACTCAGGGCCTGGGTACTGTCCCTGAGCTTCTTTTCACTCAAGGCTAGGACTCTACCACTTGAGCCACAGCACCACTGGCCTTTTCTGTGTATGTGGTACTGAGGAATCGAACCCAGGGCCTCATGCATGCTAGGCAAGCACTCTACCACTGAGCCACCTTCCCATCCAAGAACGTAATTTTTTACACGAATTATATCTCAATAATAATTTTTTGTGCCAAAATAAGGGCTTGAACTCAGGGCCTGGGTGCTGCCCTTTAGCTTTTTTTGTTGTTGTTCAAGGATAGAACTCTACCACTTGGGCCAAAGCTCCACTTCTAGATTTTTTTCTGGTTAATTAGAGATAAGTCTCAAGACAGTTCTGCCCAGGCTGCCTTCGAACCTTAATTTCACATCTTAGCCTCCTGACTAGTTAGGAGCCCAGCTGTGAGCCACGGGCACTGGAGTTTCTATTCTTTATACAACATGGAAGAAGTACTTAATATCATTGAGCTATACATTTAAATAGGCAAAATGATAAAGTTTATGTTATATATAATCACAATAAAGAAGGAATAAAAGAAATCAGAGGGGCTGGGAAGGTGGCTCAGTGGTAGAGCGCTTGCCTCGCATGCATGAGAGCCCTAGGGTCAGTTCCTCAGTGCCACATAAACAGAAAAAGCTGGAAGTGGTGCTGTGGTTCAAGTGGTAGAGCGCTAGCCTTGAGCTGAAGAGCCGAGGGACAGCGCCCAGGCCCTCTCACTTGTAATCCAAACTACTCAGGAGGCTGAGATCTGAAGATCCAGATTCAAAGCCAGCCCAGGCAGGAAAATCCATGAGACTCTTATCTTCACTAACCACCAGAAAACTGGAAGTGGCACTGTGGTTCCAAGTGGTAAATTGCTTGAGCAAAAGAGCTCGGGACAGCACCCAGGCCCTGAGTTCAAGCACCAAAACTGACTCCCAAAAAAATCCCCCCAAAACAAAACAAAAAAAACCCTAAAATCCTTCCATTGTATACACCTGAACTAAATGGGAACCATAAAAGCCTTTCAAACTTAAAAGTCGCAGGGGTTGTACTGTGGGGGAGGGACATACAAAGCAACAAAGAAATATCTTATAAATATGTTAGAAACAATCACGTGAAAGAAAAAACATTTGAATACTTATCTTGGGGTTAGGGAAAAAACAAATCGTTTAAATAGGGATACAGGTGGACCCATTGCAACAATGAGATGTACTAGTCCTTAAGTCGAAAAAAGGAACTTTACAATTTTGGCAGGAGAGGGAAGGGTGGGGTGGGGAGATGGGAAGGGATGGGAAGGGGAAACAAAGGAGGCAACAATGCTTGATAGAAATGTACTCAAAATCTTGCCCATGTAATTGTAACCCCTCTGTACGGAATTTTCACAATAAAAAAAATGTAAAAAAAAGTTTTGCTAGTTTCTTCCTTAGCCATGGAAATTTCAGATTTAAAGAACCTTTTCATTCTTTATGTAGCTAAAAGGCAGGGTGTGGCACTAAAAGCTCTTATTCTAAGGTGGAAAGAATTCTGCAGCCCAAGCATTACTTTTCAAAACAGTTAGATGTTATCACTTTGGATCTGCATTTTAAGAATAAAACCTATTTCTCTTAAATTCTCTTGTGCAGCCTAGTGCTGGTGGCTCACGCCCAGTAATCGAAGCTACTCTAGAGGCTGAGATCTGAGGATTGAGGTTCAAAGCCAGCCCGGGCAGGAATGTCCGTGAGACTCTTATCTCCAATAAACTACTAGAAAACCGGAAGTGGCGCTTCAGCTCACCTTGAGCTGAAGAGCTGAGGGACAGCATCCAGGCCCAGAGTTCAAGCCCCAGGACCAACAAAAAAAGAAAGTTCTCTTGTGCTCAGTGTAGTTCCAATATCTATGCATAGCACTGATTCTGTTTTGTTTTCTACAGTTATAGTCAAGCCATTTGGACTAAAGTGATCAAACCTTTAGAAAGAAAGGCTAAAGGATGGGAAGGTGGCTCAGTGGTAGAGTGATTGCCTTGTATTCAGGAGGCCCTGGGTTCAATTCCTCAGCACCACATAAGCAGAAGAGGCTGGAAGTAGTGCTGTGGCTTAAGTGCTAGAGCACTAGCCTTGAGCTAGTTCAGGGCCAGCACCCAGGCCTAGAGTTCAGGCCCCACCTAGAGTTCAGGACCAACCAAAAAAAAAGAAGAAAAAAAGACAAAGTTTTAATCCTTTTTTAGAGAAATAAGCTATCCTTACATAAGAATGTTAAACTTCTCTATAATACTAAAGACTTCAGAAAATAAATTCCTTTGTTGTATTACAAATGTAAGAAGGCCGAAATTTTCTAAAGTTGAACACTCAAGTAGGTACTTAGAAGTTTCAAACTAAATGCACTATGAATATACATCTATGTTTTCCTCTATTAAGAGACCTACAAGTGGCAGGGCACTGGTGGCTCATGCCTATAATCCTAGCCACTCAGGAAATTGAGATTTGAGGGTCAAACTCTGAAACCAGTTCAGGCAGGAAAGTGTCAAGACTCTTATCTCCAATTAGCCAGACAAAAACCACAAGTGGAGCTGTGGCTCCAGTGGCAGTGCACTAGTCTTGAGCAAAAAAGCTCAGGGACAGTGGGACAGTGCCCAGGGCCTGAGTTCAAGCCCCAGGACCAGCATGCAGAAGCCTTACAAGTGTAAGACAATCCCCTAGAGTACACGGTGTCCTAAAATGCTGCAAGGATGAGGATGGTCTATATCTGCACTGCCCGGTACAATAGCCTCTGGCTACATGGGCTACTGAGCATTAGAAATATAACTAATGCAACCAAGAGACTGAACATGAATGAATCCACTTAATCTCCATAACTGAGGTACAACAGGAAGGAATGGACATCTAAGAAGTCACCTGGATTCCATAGACACATGACCATGAGGACTCAAGCCCTCCTCCCCATGTGCTCCCTTGTTTCAAATCAACCTGTGACTCGTATTTGTAATTATTCAAATAAATAAAATTGTCACAGAGAGTCTGTCTTGAAACAGAAGCCAGTTAAGCCTGGCACAGATGGAATACTATGAGATAATATTTTTCTCCAAAGACCCATTCCCTTTTGATCCAAGTATCTACAGGCAGGTTTTTGGTAGAAGACTGAGTTTCCTTGTCAAGGCAGAATGAAGTCCTCTGCCACACTTGTAGTTTCCCGCACACACCACACTCTAGAGGGTCAAAGTAACACCCAGCTGCACAAACACTGCCAATAAACCAGCCGCCTGGAAAAAGATAAGACTATGGGCAGGTGTACGCAGCAAAGCAGAGGAAGGAGGGAGACAGAACACAGAAAGTGACTGCTTCCATTAAGAAGTCACCATCCTGTCTGCCTTTCTCCTTCTGCCAATCCAAACTTCTTATTTTCTCTCTAGTGGCAAGACATCTGCATCCACCATCTTGTGTCCAGGGGAAATTTATTTCCATTCTGGTTTCACTTTCCTTGCCCACTGTGGCCTCAAGTCTCCAAGGCAGGTTTAAATCTACTTCCTGAAATGCAGAAAATGGTACTCACCTTCAAGTCTTTCCTTTTGCAAAATGAAGTGGCAGCAAGGTGCTACATAGCCCAGTTCTAGAAGAAGGAAAACCTGTGTCCCAGTAAGAGGTTTGTGATCAGGCTCTCCAGAAGCCTGCCGGAACTGTATTTTCCTCTCATTTACATACATAATGAAGTCATTTCCAACCAACACCCTCAGGAGTTGAGGCCTAAGTCTTCTTTGAGGATATTACTCACTTACAGATTAACTACCTTGAGAAAGCCAACAAGCATGCAGAAGCTACAAGTCAGGTTTTTTGCTCTGGTCCTATTTTGATCGTGGGGAAACCCTACCTGAGATCCAGATGCTGGGCTTTCATTTACATCTTCAGCTCTGCTTCCCCACTCTGCTGAAGAATGCCCTCTGTTAAGTTCTAAGCATTCAAAGAGTATTTACAAATCAGACACTATATATACTTGGTCTCATGAAGAAGTGTTCAGTGGGGCTGGGAAGGTGGCTCAGTGGTAGAGTGCTTGCCTTGCATGCATGAGGCCCTGGGTTCAATTCTTCAGCACCACATTAGCAGAAAAAACTGGAAGTGGCTCTGTGGCTCAAGTGGTAGAGCACTAGCCTTGAGCTGAAGAGCTGAGGGACAGCGCCTAGGCTCAGAGTTCAGGCTCCACAACCAACCAAAAAAGAAAAAAGAAAAATGGGAAAAAAAAGAAACAAATAACTCTGACAATACCAGTGCAGACAAAAATGTAGAAGAATTAGACCTCTCTCTGGGAAACACAAAATGCCTCAGTCATGTGGTGACAGACTAAGATCTTCCCAGAGATATTCTTCTGGTCCCTAGAACCTATGAATTATTCTATTATGTGGAAAAAGGCTTTGCAGATGGAAATAAGGCTCTTGGGATTTGGGGGGCAGGGAAGCCCCATGTTATCACAAGGGAGGTAGAAGAATTGGAGTCAGAATGAAGATATGTAGCAATCAAAGCAGATACTGGAGACAGAGAATCAAAGATGTTATATAGTTGCCCTGAAAAATGAAGGAAGGGCCATAAGCCAAGGAGTGCAGGAAACAGATTCTTGCCTACAGCGTTCAGAAAGCCTCTGTGGACCTCATTTTAGGACTTATAATATCCAGACTCAAAAGATAATTTATTTGCTGTAAGCCACTAAATTTGTGGTAATTTGTCATAGCAGCAAAAGTAAATGAATATGAGCCATGTGGTAAAATGGTTTGACAAAATCTGCTAAAGACAAACACATACTTATGACCAGGAAATTTTACTTCTAGGTATATATCCGATAGAATGTGTTTGCATAGGCACCAAAATTCATATACAAGCATCGTGTTCATAGCAGTTTTGGGCGGGGTAGGGGGGAATAATCTAACTTCCCATCAGCAAGAGAATATAGATAGAATAAATTTTGATATCAGCTCACAATATAATGCTATGAAGACAGAAAAACAAATGAACCATCTGCACCTGTAACAGCAGGTATTTATCTTACAGACATAAGAGTGGGCAAAGAACACATTTGATGAGAAAGTTCTGGAAATGGATAGTGATGCAGTAGCACAACCATAAGAATGCTACTGATGCCACTGAAATATATACTTAAAAGTATTATGCAAATGTAGCTTTTATGGTAAACAGATTTTGTTTTTATATGTATATAATATAAGCATAATAAAAAGTATACACTACATTAATCTATTTGATAAAGTTTAAAGACAAGCAAAGCCAATCTCTAGGAAAAAAAGTGAGAACAGTGGCTACCTTCAGAGAGTAATAAGTAGGAGATAGCAAGAGAGAGCTTTCTGGGTAGTAGAAATGTTTAATTTCTTGATCTAATGTTTAATTCCTTAGTTACATGAGTGTGTCATAAAATACTTATCACATTCTGGCTGGGAAGGTGGCTCAGTGGTAGAGTACTTGCCTAGCATGCATAAAGCCCTGGGTTCAATTCCTCAGTACCACATTCACAAAAAAGCTCAAAGTAGTGCTGTGGCTCAAGTGGTTGAGTGCTAGCCTTGAGCAAAAGAAGCTCAGGGACAGTGCCCAGACCCCAAGTTCAAGCCTCAGGACTGGACAATAAAACCAAAAAAAAAAGAAAAGAAAGAAACTTAGACTGTATACTGTAGGAAGTGCACGAGAGACATCAGAGGAGCTAACAGCAAGAGTGGCGTGATGGCGCGTGAAAGGGACATGCTGGACAGGTCCAAGATGCCAGGGTCTGACCTAAGGCATGGGCTAGAAAGAAAGCAGAGCCCTCAGCTTGGCTGTAATGGGGGTCGAAGACCTTCAAACTACATGGCTTTTGATCCCACCAGGAAAAGGAAAGAGCAGGCATATGTTTCTGTTTACGGGGCTGCAACCTCAGAGCTGGAAAGCACCAGGAAGATCAGCCACTGCACTCTTTGATTTACAGACAAGCCGCTGCATTCTCAGGGCCAATGCCCGAGGCCAGACTGTGAGGAGCAAGCTGGAACAAGAGCTGAAACTTATCCACTTTAGTGAGCACATCCTAGAGAACAGATTAATTCAGCTATGCTGTGTCATGCTCCCAAATGCCCTCACCAACCTCATGTCCCCTGATGGGTCTTTTTTTTTTTTTTGGTCGGTCGTGGGGCTTGAACTCTGGGCCTGGGCGCTGTCCCTCAGCTCTTCAGCTCAAGGCTAGCGCTCTACCACTTGAGCCACAGAGCCACGCTGATGGGGTTCTCATAGTCCAGATTCCTGCCAATTAAACTTGCCAAACTTTTGCTGGAAAATTTCTCCCTACAATTCACCTCAAAATTCTTTTTTTTTTTTTTTTGTCGGTCATGGGGCTTGAACTCTGGGCCTGGGTGCTGTCCCTCAGCTCTTCAGCTCAAGGTAAGCACTCTACCACTTCCGGTTTTCAGTGGTTTATTGGAGATAGGAGTCTCATAGATGTTCCTGCTCATGCTAGCTTTGAACCACAATCCTTAGATATCAGCCTCTTGAGTAGCTAGGATTACAGGCGTGAGCCACCGGCACCCAGCACCTCAAGATTCTTTTGTGTGTGGGTGTGCCTTTCCTGAAACTTGAACTCAGGGCCTGAAGGCTGTTCTTGAGCTCTTTTGCTCAAGGCTAGTAGTGCTCTACCACTTTTGAGCCACAGCACCACTTGCCGTTTTCAGGCGGTTAATTGGAGATAAGAGTCTCATGGACTTCTTGCCCAGGCTGGCTTTGAACCACGATCTTCAGATCTCAGCCTCCTGAGTAGCTAGGATTACAGGTGTGAGCCACCAGAACCTGGCTAAAAATATTGTTGTTTTTTAATTTAAAAAGTTACAAAGTCAGGTGCTGGTAGGTCATGCTTGCAATTCTAGCTATTCACGAAGCTGAGATCTGAGGATGATGATTCAAAGCCAGCCCAGGTAGGAAAGTCCATGAGACTCTTATCTCCAATTAATCATCAGAAAGCCAGGTGGAGCTGTGGCTCAAGTAGGACAGCACTAGTTTTGAGCATAAAAGCTCAAGGACAGTACCTAAGACCTCGGTTCAAGCCCCAGGACCAGCACACAAAACATTCACACAAGTAAATTTCAGTTTGTCCATTCTCCATAGTCACATGAAGCCAGTGGCTCCCAACAGTTTTGAACTAGAACATATCGATATTCATGGAGTATTCTACTGGACAGCACACTGTATCTTATGGTTCTAGTCGGCTTGAATTGATTATAAGTAACTATCACTCTAAACTTATCTTTACCTGCCAGAGAAGAAAGAATCCTTTAACTTTTTTTTTTTTTTTTTGCTGGTCTTGGGCCTTAAACTCTGGGCCTGGGTGCTGTCCCTCAGCTCTTCAGCTCAAGGCTAGTGCTCTACCACTTGAGCCACAGTGCCACTTCTGGCTTTTTCTGCTTATGTGGTGCTGAGGAATCGAACCCAGGGCTTCATGCATGCAAGGCAAGCACTCTACCACTGAGCCACCTTCCCAGCCTGAATCCTTCAACTTTTAAGGAATAAAATTAGGTACCCCAAAGGATATTTGACATTCTTCAGTAGAAGCCCCTGAATCTCATCAGGCTCTTCAGCTGAAACGAAGAGAAACCAAATAAAAGACAACTAAGAGAAATTAAAGCTGAGCAAGGCAGAGTAACACAGTTCATTTCTTTCCCTTGTTTTTCTATAAAAATAGTTAACTTCACCCAGAAGATTAGGGACATGTAGAAATTAATGGACCATAAATAAGAAGCCATTATTCTTTGGGAAATAAAAACTCATGACTGGTGAACATAAAATCAAGTGAAGTGGAAATTTAAGTGGGTGAGGAGGGGGAAAAAGAACAGGAACACATTTCGCATTAAGAAAAGTATAATTAGAATTACAAAGTTTTTTTTAAAGCTTTGGTCTGAAGACAAAACTAAACTTGCTTAAATAATATTTGTTATCTAGTTGATGAAAGTAATCACTGTTAAATTTTGTTCTTAACACTTACCTCTTCTGGGGGAAAATTACCAAAGGAACACTTCCACAGAGGAATATCATATTTCACCACCAATTGTCACCAATGAATACTGCCCAGGTAAACTGAGCACATATAGTTAATAAGGAAGAAAAATATCAAAACCCACTAAGAGGAGACACTAGCACACTGCACAATGCTGTTGCTCCCTCTTTCAGTGCAATACTAAAAATGCATTGCTAAGTGCTGAGGTGCAGGTTGTTTTAAAAACGAGCACAGCTGGGCATGGTGGCTCAAACCTGTAATCCTAGCTACTCAGGAGGCTGAGAGCTGAGGATCACAGTTCAAAGCCAGCCTGGGCAGGAAAGTGTACAAGACTCTTATCTCCAATAAACCACCAGAAAATCAGAAGTGGTGCTGTGGATCAAGTGGTAGAGCCCTTCCCTTAAGCTGAAGAGCTGAGGGACAGCGCCCAGGCCCAGAGTTCAGGCCCCACTACTGACTAAATAAATGAATAAATAAATAAATAAATAAAGCAAGCATTGGTTTCCCCAGTTTAAGGTTCTAATGGTGATTTCAAGATAATGGCACATGTGAGAGCATTATTTTGAGAGCATTATTTTGAAACCGGGATATAGCACTGCTTGATGAGGGCTTCAGGCG